ACAACGCTAGAAACTGGGTTTCGATACCCGTGGTGGGCAGAGCACAGATAGCCCATTGTGTAGCTTTGTGCTTAATTCCAAACAAACAAACAAAACCTTTTCTTTAGGAGGTTCAAGACAAAAGAAAATGAAACACCTTTAATATATTCAATCCACTGTATAATGCTTATTTCAGTTTATGTAATAACCTCAGATCTTCGTAGTTTATAGAAGGAGATAAAGGTAACGCAAAATTTTCCTGACGGAATTACGTTATGATTTCCTCTAATAATAAAATTAATTTTTCTTCAATTAAAATACAAGTGTTAGATACACATATGAACATATATTTATATATATATGATAAAATACTATTTTTATGTCAGAAAATGCCTTTTCCGCCTTCTATATGACATTGGTATTATCAGAATGTCAATTTTCTAACGTGTGTTGTATATGATATTTAAAATGAATTAGCCTAAACTTCTAATGTTAAATTAACCTGTATTCTGCTACATTATTACACGGGTAAAAATTAATCTTTATATTATTTTTTTGTTAACTGATTACTTATAAGACTGTCTTAAAAACAACAACAACAAAAAAAAAAACAAACGAATCATTTGTATGATTCTAAAGCAAGATGAAGAACGAAAAGTAATCGTAACGTTTTTACACTTGGATTTTTACACTTGATTGGCCTTGTTTCCAGCCCCCACCCCTCATCTCCCAGTGGCTCAGCGGTAAGTCTGAAGGCTTATAACGCTAAAAACCGGGTTTTGATATCCGTGTTGGGCACAGCAGATACGTCATTGTGTAGCTTTGTGGTTAATAATAAACCTGCAACCAACCAACAGTGTTTCCACTTTTCAAGATTTGTCCCGAGGCTCCAGGATTTATGGGTCTGGAATAGGATTTTCCTTGCTAATTTCAGGATCCCAAATATAATAGATTTTGCCAATTTCGATCAAAGTAGTGCAAACTATGGATGGACCAGAATTAAGAAATGAAAAATAATATACTCGTAGTTCAAATTTAACTTAGAAACGAAAGTTACACTCGTTGCAGGAGATTACATACTGGAATACTTGTGCACGTGTTTGCTTTAACAATATTTATATATATTGTTACGATATTATAGATATTGTCAAACGCAGAGTCATGTGATCTTGTTGAAAGTTTAAGCTTTGTATGATGCTAATCAGGCGAAAGGTCGAAATACAAATGTAGAATATATTTACTAATGATTTTTTCATGATTCCAACATTCATCATTTAGTATAGTAGTAAAAAATAGGACAACAAACAAATAAAAAGTGAGAAAGACAAAGTATACTCAGTTTGATAAAAAAAATCATAGGAAAAAGATGAAGTTTTTAAAACTTAGTTAAAGTCGGCAATAAGAAACGAGACTGCCTTTTACGATGTCTGTAATACTTTTATTTCATTTTTGTGAAACATTCTCTTCAGAAACATGTAAGACCTAAACATCTTGAAGAATAGAGAAATATAAGAGCAAAGAGACACAGGAAGCATGTTGAATTTTGATCCAAGTGCACGTGAAAGTCCTGAAGACAAGGTGTTTCAACCAGTAGCACAGACCAAGGTATTCATAACATAAAATAACCTCCCACAACCCACTGTTGACAAATTGGAAAGTCTTATGGAAGATACACCCTCTAAGCCAGTAATGGACACCTTGAAGTTGGGTTAGTAGCCAAGGTCTTGAACCACACTTTAATGACATATTGGCTGAACAGCTGTAGCTGATAGAAGCACAACTAAACAGTTAACAGAATGTGTAATTTATTGCAAAGATGATTTTGAAATAGAAGTTAATATTGTAGTTCTAATTAGTTGTCCAGATGGATCTGCAAGGTCTTTATTTCATAATACATCATCATCGTTTGAAAACCTGAATGTATCTCTGAGAACATGTAACAAATTTTGAAGTTATATAATAAAAACATTGTGTACCTTTGTGCTTAAACTACAAACATACAAACTTCAGGAAATATTTTACGTCGACAGCTATTTGGGACACTGTACTTTTTTTCCGATGAGTCCAGATTTGCATACTTCTCAAACAGTAAATACACCTGAGTTTCGCGACTATCCTTCAGTAACTTTCGTAGAACCATGTGCAAGCCACGACAAGATATAGCGGTTGGTATAGCTGTTATGGTCTGGGGTGGAATTAGAGCAGTTGGAGAATCACTCTTAATGGCATTTAAAGGGGTGACCACTGCTCCTAATTCTCTAGTAAGGTCTTCTATCTGTTAATGCCAATGAGAAGTTAATCAGACAATGCAATGTCTTTATGCAAGTGGTAAGGCCATTTAACACACTTTCGTGGCCTGGTTAATCGCCCAATATGAACCCTATCGAGCATGTATGATCTGTCCCTGATCGTTTCATGACAGGAATGGAATACAATTTAACAGGCCACATTTTCGGATCTTATAAATACGATGCGTAACTATGTTTCTACCCGAGATATTTAAAAGGGCAGATCCATTAAATACTAATGGTAATCTCTTTGTTATATATTCCACAGGCGTTATCTTGAGTTTACAAATATATATAAATAAACTTGCTCTAGACAGCTCTAATGGTCCTCAACAGAGGGTGATAATTGATAGGATGCTGTATTTCGATATGAGAACACATACATACACACAAAAAAGAAAGGGCCCAAGTAAAATTCTTTTACTCCCTAGCATCGGGGAAACTCCAAATCCACAAAAGAAAAGCGCATATAAAACTGGTACCTTAACCTGGCCGATATTACTATCGTGACATCTCTGTCGATGATGGAAGTATTGGAATACAAATTCTAAAGTCAAAGAAGAAATGGTGACTACAAAAGTATCTTTACAAGAATTCAAGGTATGGATGAAGTCGAAAAAAAAACAGTGAAAATTTGAATTATTATAAAGGTACAATTATTTAGAGAAGCCAGATCTTACACGTGTGAAACGTCTAATTGAAAGCAAAGCGAACCAAACACTCAAATACATGTTCTACGTTTCAAGGATGAAGAGCATTTGTTACGCTGAAAAGGTACTTTTGTAAAGTTCCCTTGTGGGTCAGTTTACAGACTTACAAAGCTAAATAAAATCTGGGATTCGATACTCCGCGGAAAAAATAGTGCCAAGAAAACAACTTCTGTGAAACACTCTATACTGTGTTGATGGGAACAGAATAAATTCAATACATATAATAAAAACCCGTGGAAAATATCAAGTAGGAGATAAAACATTTCACTTTATATATATATTTCAACGAATACATATTTATATCTTTAATCAACCAATGTTTGTACACCAAAAGTCTATAGCAAACATAACTTAAAACATTTAGAAGTAATTATATATATATTGCAACTGACTAGGACTCTTGGAATTGTTAATATTACGAGTCATTATTTTGTCACATTAATGTAATAACCTTGCATCTCTTATAGAGATTAGAGAAAAAATGAACGGTAGATCCTGGTATTCTAACATTGTTATCAGCAGTAGAATAATGACACTAGCGGAATACAAATGTGAAAATCACTTATATTTTCATAAAAGTTTCAACAGTTCAATATGTAAACCAATTCGATTATTAATGATAATAAAATTGTATTTGTATACTACTCTAATTATGCGATATTTAGCATATGACATTGGAATTAAAAACATTACTTAATATAGCCATTGTACGTCTCGGAAAGAATATTTTTTCATACGTGGTGTAAAAGTCGTTCGACATCAGCGCATGTGATATGTAGCTACTTTACACTAGATGGCAGCACTTGAACACTCTAACTTAAGGTTGATGAGTTGCTAAGTGATCCTCACTACGTTACAAAGTCAGTAGAATGTTGCGATAGGAGAGATGTGAAGTTTATCTTTCAACTCCAGAGTTATCATCTCTTGATCATAGGGGAACAACTGAAGCAACGTCTGCTAATTTGTATTAGGGATGTCATGTTGCTCGTTATGTTATTTTCATGCTTGCTATCGATGAAAGTAAGACAAAGCGCACGTGCTCTCCTCTTTGTACCTTTAATAACATCTAGCAGTCAGCCAGTTTCTATGTCCTGGGATCTAACAGATGAGGAAATCAACGGCACGGACGACCTAAAATCTTCAGCAAAGGCATCATCTTTGTTTTTGTTGCTACGGAAGAAAAGAGACGGTAAGCAGCAGCATTAAAGGTGCAGAAAAAGATATTGCTTTATGATATTAGCCAGAATGCTCTCATTTAGAGCATGCTAGTAAGAGAAAGAATTCTGGCTTCATTTACCGAATATTGCTTTGTGATATTAGCGAGACTGTTCTCATTTAGAGCATGCTGGTAACAGTAAGAATTCTGGCTTCATTTACCGAACATTGCTTTGTGATATTAGCGAGACTGTTCTCATTTAGAGAATGCTGGTAACAGTAAGAATTCTGGCTTCATTTGCCGAATATTGCTCTGTGATATTAGCGAGACTGTTCTCGTTTAGAGCATGCTAGTAACAGTAAGAATTCTGGCTTCTATTACCGAATATTGCTTTTTGATATTAGCGAGACTGTTCTCATTTAGAGCATGCTGGTAACAGTAAGAATTCTGGCTTCATTTACCGAATATTGCTTTGTGATATTAGCGAGACTGTTCTCATTTAGAGCATGCTGGTAACAGTAAGAATTCTGGCGTCATTTACCGACCATTGCTTTGTGATATTAGCGAGACTGTTCTCATTTAGAGCATGCTGGTAACAGTAAGAATTCTGGCTTCATTTACCGAATATTGCTTTGTGATATTAGCGAGACTGTTCTCATTTAGAGCATGCTGGTAACAGTAAGAATTCTGGCGTCATTTACCGAATATTGCTTTGTGATATTAGCGAGACTGTTCTCATTTAGAGAATGCTGGTAACAGTAAGAATTCTGGCTTCATTTACCAATAACAGTTTAAGAACATAATTTAAAACTTATTTTATGAATACAGAACTCCAATGCATTTTATTCCTTGTGTGTGTGTGTGTGTGTGTTTGTTTGTTTTGCAGTAACTGATTATAAAACAATCAATATCAAACTTTGAAATAATACCATACTTATGTTTTATGTTTGAGGTAACTCGAAAATAGCTCTAGTTTGATTCAACATTAAAAACTGAAAGAACCCGGTTTTACTAATTATATGTTTAAGATATATTTAAGTATTTCATTAATCGAACTGTTTAACTGGATAAATGATGCTTCAAAAATGTTATTGTTAAGTTGTAGTTGCTTTAACATCCCCAAGTAGCTGTATGGATACCCCCCCCCCCAAAAAAAAACAACAACAAAAAACAAACACAACAACTAAAATTATACAGGTAATCTCCACATCAAATAAATAATTCAAAAATAAAACAATATTGTAAACTTTAAAAAAAAGAAGGGAACTAAAACTACACGGAAAATCTCTGAAAAAGGGAAACATAAATCATATGGACAACCTCTTAAAAAACATAGATTAAAGGAATAACATAAGGAAAAAACGTAAATTATATAGCTAATCTAAAAAAGAAACATAAATCATATGGATAACCTCTTAAAAAAACGTAGATTACAGGGATAACATAAGGAAAAAAACATAAATTATATAGCTAATCTAAAAAAGAAACGTAAATCTAGACAATCTTTATTGATTCGTAGTCAACTTAGTATAACTTGTTCATAAATGAACAAATTAAATGAGAAAGTAAAATCTTTAATTGAGACCAGTATTATTTTTACTATGATTATTTTAGATCTTAACTTATCATCATTTTTTATTTTATTTTGTATCATACTGTGTTTAGATTTCAGAGTATTTTTGTACAGATGTAAATACAAAAAATACTGTAGATGCTTATTTGACTACTAACATGTTATATGTGTTTCTTCGTTTTACGTGACTCCAGGAATTATTTTAAGTTAATTAAACTTTAGTAGTTTTTATCGCGTGTGGATATGTTTTTACAACATCATTACCATGCAGAAAAAAAATAGCATTTCGAACTACTGATTACAAGTGTGTTTTCGTGTCCCTTTACATGTTCAGTATGTACCAGGTTGCTATAGAAACAGAGTCATGCCTTTTATGCTCATATCAACGCAGTTATTACAGCTCCAACTTTAAGATCATAACTGGTCTTCATCACTGGGATGGAGGATATTAGGAGATATGTGCTTTGATGCTGGCCACATTATGGCTTGAAACTAATATTTTTCTTACAAAATAATCCTGTGGCTAAAAACATGTTTTTCTGTTGAGCAATAAATGCTGTTTTCTAGACGTGCGAATAGAAATCATTCTGTTACAACAGTTTTATAGTTGCAGATTTTCACTATAGTAACAACCGGTGACGTTCTGTATAGTTTCTACTAGGTAATGCATAATTTAAGCTGTTTGAATTTATTACCATCTGCGTATCTTTGAATGTCATAGAGACGAGTATCTCTGTGTTAAATATGAGCATTTTAACCCGCTCTAATTCGATCAGCTGAAGTAAATAAACAATGTAAAAGTTTAGAACTCTGCTACATAATTGTTTATTATAGCTGGGATCATTTGAAACTAGATTCACAATAATACACCTTTTTAATTACATGTGCAATTTATAACATTGACAAAAATGTTGAAATATCGTGTGTGTAATTAACTGTTTAAAATACGTTGTAGTGAAATCAAAACTGAAACCTTCAGCGGACCTGGTACATAGAGTAAGCAGTTGTTCTAGCAAGAAATACTACATTTTAATTGGATAAACGTCACTACAAAATATATAGATCATGAGGAAAACATCCAAAATTTTCTTTCCATATATAACTCAGGTTTGTGACAGTAAAGGGTAAACAGCTTATTTTGTTAATGACACACATTTTAGTTTTGTGTGTGTGTGTTTTTTTTTTTTGTAGGGGACCAAACAAAATTCTGAGATGCATTAAAATCTATACAAATTCGTTAAGATTAACCTGAAAAAAATTGGCATAAAAGTTTTTGCCCCAGAATAGTAATTAGTATACTGCTCTGGGGCAAAAACTTCTGCTAATTACAAGCAGTAAATTTCTTGTTTTTTACAAAATTCATTATCCGAGTTGCTATGATGTGGTTAAATCATTTATGTAATATAAAGGCACAGGTAATATTAAAACTGTAAGATTTTCCAAAAGCCTTATATCGTACCAAAAAAACAAAACCCTTTCTACTGTTTAAAAAATATTCTATAAATGTGTACTTTAAAATATTCATAAGTACTAGAAATGTACTTATACTTACTCTGCAGTTCAGTTTGATGTAATATAATAAACAAGGCTCTTAGATTGAGTCCAAGTTGACGTTTTACAGAGCATTAAAGTAGAAACGAAATATGTTCTTTTTTTGGAGTATCCCTCGGTGGTTCAACGGTAAGCTTCGAGGCTTATAAGCTAGGGTTCGATTTCCGTTGCATATACAGCGCAGATATGTAGCTTTGCGCCAATACAGACAGATAAACCAAGAAAAACTATTCACAATTTTTAATTGTATAAATAAATTAGCTTAGTTTAAAGAGATTACTTAGAAAGATGGACCTGTCATTGCACCAACTCCTGGAATGAAAATTATTATATTGTATTTTGTTTGGAAAATGATAAAATGATTAATTTGGAACTCGTATTAGTTTAAAGATCAATAACTTATAATTTGCTATTTCTCACTTTGCACGATTCTGTGCAGCAGAATGATGCTCCGCATCATGTTTATGTTATGAATTTCCCGCAAACCTACACAATGGGCTATCTGTGCTCTGCCCACCATGGGTATCAAAAACCGGTTTCTAAAACCGCTGTGCCACTGGGGGGGGGGCAGCTACACGAGAGTTATATAATTTAGTAGTGATAGACTAGAGGGAAGGTAGCTAATCAGCAACATCCACCACCAACTCTTGGGCTACTGTTTTACCAACGAATAATGGGATTGGCCGCAACATTATAACGCCCCCACGATTGAAGGAGCGAACATGTTCGGTGAAGGTAATTCGAACCTGCGACCTGCAGATTGCGAGTCGAGAACCCTAAACCCCCAGACCATGGCAGGCCTGTTTCTCATTAATACAAAATACATAATTTATTAGAATCTCGTGAATCTTGAAACCAAAGTTTCAAAGATCGGTTTTTCTTATTTTTGTTGGAACTGGATATAGACATATCTATACTTGACCAAGCAGAAAGCACAGGCAAGTTCGGAGAGAATGATTAAAACGGGCAGAATAACTAAAAAAATTCAGTTGTCAATTCCTGGTACATTTAGGGCTAAAAATGGCTTTGCACTTAATTCATACTAAAGGAAGTATGAAATATTTTTACATATGTAATAAATTGCCACGAACTCAACATAAATTGGAGGTTCGGGACATAAGATATCGAATTTGGGATTTTGCTACGAAATGTTTTTTGAAGTTATTAAGAACGGTCATTAGAAAATATTTTGAGGAAATCTTTTGAAACGAATGAAATGAATTTTGGGTATTTCCAAAATCTGCATGTCACGATCACCAATTATGATAAAAATCTAATTGTTTGATTATTATCAAATTAAGAGAAAAATTTTATACATTCCGCCGGAGTTGTTACAAGAACATAGAGAGTCTTCAGTATTGTTATTTTAGTACAATTTGGGTTTTGGTTTTGTATCCGATATTCGCACAAAGCTACATTTGCGCTAGCTATCTTGAATTTTGAAGTGGCAGCACCCACCGCCAACTCTTGGGCTTCTATAATCGAGTAGTGGAATTTGACAATCACTCTCACAACCCATCCACGATCCCAAAGTACAGAGCACGGTTTTTTGCGGCAACGGGACGCAAACCATGAATCCTTGGCATGCTAAGAACAAGGTCATGCTGCGTCATATTTTAGTAGAAAGTCACAATTATATATGTACACTGTTCGCGTGTGTGTGTTGTATCAATTCCAAGAAAAGTCTGAAAGGGAACCAGGCTAAATATTGATGAGTATCTTGTTGTTAAAATATAATTCACCTGAAGTAATTTAAAAAGTTTGCAAGTAGTGCTATTCAGGATGTTATTATCGATGGTTGAAACGGGAATGAAACGTAGAATATTTATGTTTACAATAACACATCAAAATGTCATTTCAAATGAACTTGATTAGGTTATATCTTTTATTTCGAGTAGCAAGTAGTTTT